GTAGATGGAGAGATAAATATAATCAAATTTAAAAAATGTATATAGTAGATTTATATATTATTTTTATTCTATGGATGAGTTTTGTTATAAAAACAGTTAATGGGCCTGATATGATATAATATTACTCACTTTGCTTACATTATATAGTTTTCACTTTTCTCAGTTACTCCTCACCTAATTACTCCATCTGCCTAGTGCCAAGAGACCCAACAGCACTCAATTCCTCATTGCTCTGCCATAGCCCAAGAACCATTAAATGTTCGAGAAATGCTATATGTACATAATATTGTACACAGAGGTGTGCATAACATTCACATTGAGTGAGACCTATCAAATATAAAAAAATCAAGTGGACTTAACTCCATGTGAGTATTATGTACACTTTTATGTACATTTATTATGTACTTGTAGCATTTTTCTAAATCTTATGCTATAGCCCAAGCACCATTAAATTTGGCAACCCAACCTTGTCTCCGACCTCCGCCACAGACACATCGGTGCTCGGTCACCCATCAATTCTCGACATGTTTAAGGATGTCACCGACAAATCCGCACGATTCTTCAGGGGTAAGCTAGGTCAATTTTTCTAGTTTAGTTATTATAATTCTATTCCTTGTTAGCATAGGTGTTTGGTTATTTTAGAAATTCTTATGACTATAGATATTTTCTTTCCTTAGGATTAGAGTTTCTCTTCTCATAAGACTAATATTTCTCTTCTTTAAAGTAGTGCGGTACCTGTGCGATGCACGAGCTAGTGATATTAAGGGAATTATTTTAATTTGGATAATGGAATCATTGTTCAAAACATAAAACACATTTATATATTACTAAACACCTCTTTGTAAAACAAATTATTTATTTGGTTTTTTGCTATATCGTCATCACACAAATTAAAATCTTCAAATACTTAGGATTCATAACGTATGAAACATCTACATACCACTAAATGATAAAAAATGACTAAACACCAGTTTCTTCAAGAATAAACAAACATGTGATAGAAAATGACTCTGACTCTTGTTTATCGTCATGTCGTAAGATACCATCAGTGAAAAATGGCTTCATTGGAATTGAACGGTATCATAACATCATAAAGAGTTAGCATCATCCGCGGAACGAACACCTTCTCATCTAAATGATCTGTACTGAGGATTTTACATTCAAGCACGTGAGTGGAGAGCTTTGTAACAACCAATCGCGTCCCATTGGACATCACCATAGATATATCCATGTTTTTCAACAACATGACTGGAGTTTCCATCTTCAAATGCAACTTATGATTCGACACTCCCAACATTTGATAGAATTCAAGATCTTGGGCGTGTTTGGATATTATCAGTTTGCATAGGATGTTTACTAGTAATTTGTACTGACTTGTCTTGCACATGAACTTGGACATGTGCTCTTATACGTTCAATTTATCCTTATTTTGATCTATTGCCTTGGATATCACTTATTTTTGTGACTACAAGAAACAAATTTTTCGAACTAAATGCTAAATAGGAAAATTGTTAGGACTTTTAATTGTCATATTTCGAATAACTCTTTTATTTATTTGATTAGACTCCTTGTAGGTTGCTTGGAAAGTAAGCAAGACAAAATAAAGGAAATATTGTCTTATTTATTCAGTTCGTTGTGTATTTATTGTTGTATATTGAGTTATATTTTATCTAGATTTAGTTCCTTATATAGGAAAGAAATACGCATGGAAAGGATGTGAACACGGCTAAAGTATTTGGATGCGGCATTGACATAGATGGAAGTAGAACATGGTAGATATGGACCGGATGGAACAAGATCCGCCAAATATCGCAAATAAGGAAAGTCGTGTTCCTTACATGGCTTCAGGACTTCCATAATAAAGGGAATTCTGAGAATCTTGAAGGTTGGAGAGTGAAGAAAACTTTCCACACTCGGGAGAATAGCTCATGTTCTTGTGGAGGGAGCCACTGTAGGAATTTTAAGTTTGCGTGTCTGCCAAAAAGTAACTAGGGAAGCGGAGTGTGTGGACAGTACGATCAGAAGGGAGTTTTAGTCTCGTAAATATGTACTACGCTACGTGTGCGCGACCATTTACTAGTGAAAGAGTTATGAGCAAAACGGGATGCTTCATGAGAAAAAATACATAAGAAAGGATAAAAGAACCGTCCAATCAAGCCAACATGTGAAATAATACATAAGAAAAAAAATTAAATATTATTTAAAAGTTTTACAAATATTTTCAAATTTAAAATTAAGAAAGAAATAATGGTAATGAATTATTAATAAAAAGGATAAAAATATTCAATATAAACATTATTTAGTAGTTAGATAATATTGAATTAAAATTTTAAACGAAACTTATAATTTTTTAGAAAATAAATTAGTAATAATTTATCAAATACTGTAACTGAAAATCATTAATGTTTTTAATATGAAAATAACATATGTTACATCATGACCGCGCGTCGTTACACGACAAATTTGAATTTATAAATTCTCCTATACTAACCTCTACTAACTAGTAGTAGTGACGAGTAAGGGTCGATCCCACGAGGAATAGGAATTAAATTGTAATGATTCTCGTATTAATTGAACTAAACCTACGAAAGCAATAAAGAGGGGGGATTGATTTATAAAACTAAAATAAAAATAAATAAAATAAAAATCAAATCAAATAAGAGAAGTCTAGTTTTCGGTTCAGTTATCACCCAATCTAAATCTACCGTTAATTAATTTCGACGCCTTCTTTAAATTGCCGATGAATTACCAACCCTAGCTAACAATAAGCTCTGTTAACCGAATTTTCCCTTACTGAATATTTAATCGAAATAGGCTATTCGACTAAACCTAACTAGCAGACAACCTAGAATAAGCTCTCTAGATTTAGTGCACTAGCAGCATTAAGTATTAGGAAAATAGATTAGTCTAAGCAACAGACACAAAAGCTCGGTTTATGTTTACGCTACCCTAGAGATGCACGACCCCTAGTTTACTACTAACGAAACGAGACAATAACAATTACGGATTAAAGCCTCGAATCTAGCAGTTAAACAATGAATATTCAACCTAGCTGGCCAAACTAAATCAAACACCATAATTCATAAACGTTATACACAGATAACATGAATCAACTCATCAATAAAAATAAATACGGGTGTCTCGATTAATCAACGATAAATATAAATCCTTAAATCCATAGACAAATTCAAGTTAGGGTTCAAACATCCCCTAAAACTGAATAAAAACACTAGCCTACCATACTAATAATGAAATAAATAAAAGATAAAAGAGAGAATAAAGATCTCCCTCGTGTGCAGATGTGGCTTCCCTCCGCGATGCCTCTTTCTCTATCTGTGCGGTCTTCTCTGTGCTTGGTTTTTTTTTCTTTTCTTCTCGTAAAATAATGTCTCGCAAACACTACAATAAAATGATGAAATTCCAACGGAAATATATTTCAATAGAATTCCAACGGCAATTCCAATGGATATTTCAATGCTATTATTTCCGTTGGAATAATTCCAACGGAAATTCCAACAAAAATTTTCTGTTGGAATGAATTTTCCATTGGAATTTCTGTTGGATTTTGACGATTCCAACGGTAGATTTTCCAACGGTGGTAGAAATAAAAATTTCAATGGAAATTGCATATTCCAATGGAAATTCCTACGGTGAAAAACCGTTGGAAATATAGCCGTTGGAATCATCAAATTCCATCTAAAATTCCAATGAAAAATACATTCCAATGGAATATTTTCGTTGGAATTTTCGTTGGAATCATTCCAACGGAAGCTATACCATTGGAATATCCGTTGGAATTTTCCTTAGAATATATTACCATAAGATTTTCCGTTGGAATATAACAATTTTTTTGTAGAGATATAATTCCCTCGCAGGCCTCTGTACATGCGTGAATGTCCCAGCCAATGTGGAGTCCTCTTTATAAAGTAAATCCTCCTAAATTAATTGTTCTCCAGCCAATGTCACTCTTTTCAAATCAAAATGCGTGGCGCACAAAACAAATAAATGAGTGCAATGTGAATTCCCTCCCAAGCTCAAAATATTTTGCTTTTCTTTTTCTTTTTAGCAAACATGACCAGCTCATTAAAATGAAAATGGGCCTAATTCAAGTATCATTAGCCTAACTCAGATAGTTAATCACGTGATTCTCGTCCAATAATTCGCGTGCACAAATTGCTCCAAAATACTGAAAATAACACATAAAACATTAAAGCAAATAAATTCATCTAAATAATAAATAGGTCGAAAAATATAAATGTGCGAATAAATTTAATATATAAAATACACTATTAAATATATAAAATGTGCACATTTTTAGACCTATCATATCAATTTTAAAGTGGTGTTGGTTTAGAGACTTAATTTTATTTACAAACTAAATTTCATTTTAAAAATATAACCAAGTTTTCCATCTTTAACAATAAGAATGAAAACAAAATTATGGTAATAAATTATTATTCAAAAAATAGGTAAAAGATTAATTAGGAGGATTATTAAATAATTATATAATTCTAATTTATAAAATTTAAAATAATACTTATTTTAAAATAGATAAAATATGCATATGGATTAAATTTTAAACTATTATATTTCATAAAAATAAAAATATTCACTATCGACTTAATGTATTCACTCGATTATTGTTATCTCGTGCATCGTGCGTGTTGTAGTAGCTATCTTGAAAAGTATGAGGACAAAATGAAACAAAGAAAATCTCATGATGAAAAGAAAAGTAAAATAAAAGAAAAAATAAATGTTCAAACTATTATCTAAATTCCTACGACAATTTGTTAGACATGTTTTTCTACAAATCATCTCTTCTCAAAATCTTCACATATCGAACTTTCAAAATTAGCATTTTTGTCACTAATAGCTAATCAACTAAACTCTTTACCAAACAAGCTAGTTAGATAATTTATTAGGTCAAACCTCTAAATGAATTTCAATCCGCTAATTCTACACCAATAAGCTAACAACCAAACATGATCAAGATGTAGAACACAAACTGAAATACGAAAAAAAAAAAAAAAAAAGGGAAAG